TTTGTGGCTTGCCCTCCTTGTGAAGGGGGTCAATGATTGTCTTCTAGACAACTGTCAGATCAGCAGTCTTCCCCATGATTGTGTAGCCTAGTGAACCAAACTGAGAGACCATTTTGAAGGCTCAGGAAACCTTTGCAGGTGTTTTGAGTGGATTAGCTGATTGGCATGTCACCATATTCTAATTTGTTGAGATAGTGAATTGGTGGGTTTTTGTTAAATGTGAGCCAAAATCATCACAATTAAAAGAACCAAAGACTTAAACTACTTCAGTCTGTGTGCATTGAATTTATTTAATACACGAGTTTCACAATTTGAGTTGAATTACTGAAATAAATTAACTTTTCCACGACATTCTAAATTATTGAGATGCACCTGTATATAACTATTGCATATAGGAGAAAATAAACATGTCTGAAATGTCTGTTTCTTGTGTTGTATATGAACGTTTTTTGCGTGGATGAAATAACACACAGAAGATTAACTGAAGTGTATGCAGTGCACTGGACACTGAAATAATTACTCACTGTACAATATGACTGTGTCTTCAGTGTGTGTGAGTGAGTGAGTGAGAGAGAGAGAGCGCATGTGTGTGTGTGAATCTCACCCTGATGCAGGACACATAAAGCCTAGACAACATCAACACTTAAGTTTAATTCCTGTATTAGACCATGAATAAGCTGTAATAAGGCTGGTACACAATACTGACTGAAACAGCAGCAGCAGTGGATCAGTTTGACAGTGACATTCATGACTCTCAACTTCTCACTCTGAAACACTGAAGAGCTTAAATCAAAAACATGAAAGACCAGATCGATCGATCAGAGACACACACACACACAACACGTCTGGTTGACTATCCTTGTGGGGACTCTCCATAGGCATAATGGTTTTTATACTGTACAAACTGTATTTTATTTCGCACTACACCTAAACCTACCCCTCACAGAAAACTTTGTGCATTTTTACAATCTAAAAAAAAAAATCATTCTGTACGATTTATAAGCTTCTGTACCCATGGGGACCTCAATTTAGTCCCATGAGTTGGTGCGTATTCAGGTTTATGTCCCCACCAGAAAAACCTGTACACACACACACAAAGGTAACGAAGTCCTGGAGGTCATATGCGTGTCTTTGACTCACCTAGAAATCTCACCCATGTGTCCCGATAAATATCCACTTCTTTGCTGTGTTTCTCGGGCGTGTGCTCCATCCTGACCCGTGTGTGTGTGTGTTTGTGTTTGTGTTTGATATCTGATGCAGATCTGAGAATAGATCAGGTGTTGTATGTTGAGCTCTGATGTTCACACACAGTCAAACGCGCCATACTGTAGCTGAGCTAAGGGAGCGTCTACAAATCACACTCTCTTACATACTTCACATCACAGGACTCTGGTTTGACCTCATCTGATGTTTGTGCTTCATTTAAAGGGGTCATATGATGCTTTTTTAAAGATCATTATTTTGTGTATTTGGTGTAACAGAATATGTTGACATGCTCTAATGTTCAAAAAACACATTCTTTTCAAATACTGTACATTATTGTAGGTCCTCTATGCCCCGCCTCTCTCAAACGCTTCGTTTTCAACAAAGTCCCTCCTTCCGACAAGCGCAGTCTGCTCTGATTGGCTAGCTGACCCAGTGCATTGTGATCGGCGAACACTGCGAGCACTCGTCGGAAATGGAACGCCCCTTACCATAATCGCCAGCTTCATCTTTCAAAATAAATGTAAAGACAGTAAATAATGTCATTAGTTTTACCATCAGTTCAAGCCCGAAAGGGGAACAGAGTCGCATGACAGACACAGTGATGAAGCTGGTATGTGTGCAGTACACAAGCCACGGTTAAGACAGCTGACTCCACTGTGATCTCTCTCTCTCTCTCTCTCTCTCACACACACACACACACACGCGCACGCACACACACACACGAAGCGCAAAACTCCGCATTTGAACAGTCGATAGCAAATACTTAAACCAATAACAAAACAGTAGCTGATTCAGAAGCGCCAGATTGTCATAGCAAAGTCAGAATTCCCTCCTCTCCTAGGTTCACGAAACGGTCGTCCATAAAATGCATTGCTGTTCTGTTGTAAGTCATCTTAAAGATTCCTAAATGCATCTACTTTCGGAAGGCCAAATAAAGTGCTTTTGCTTTCGCCTAGAAACACACAGCGTCTCCCTGACATGGCTGCTTCAACACTAACTGCGGTTACTGAAATCACGCCTTCTTTCTGTGCGTGCACATTTCGGCGCATTATGCAAATATTTCCACATAGTGAGGTAGATATGTGGGGGCGTGTTAGAACGAGCCGTTTTAGGGGGGCGTGGCAGAGTCTTAACTTTGATAAAGAATATCTCTTTGGTTTTGAGACTTTAGTCTTTGCAACTTCAGGGATCTTATCTATGCACAATCAGCTTGTAACACTCCAAAGAGAAAGGAAAACTTGAAATCGCATCATATGACCCCTTTAAAACCTCAGTAGTGATTGGCACTCAAAAGTTCATTTACTATTTCTGTTAATGGGGGTTTAAATCCAGATTGATGAGTGTAAAATCTCCACATTCTAGAATCATCAAAAAACAATCACAAGTCACTTGATAATATGTCCGTTTCATTGACTTGACATAAAGTTGTGTATTTTAAAGTGTTGCCTTGTCCAAATACCCACACTTGCAGTCTTTGCACTTGACCACTTGTATGACGTATTTCCTGTATTTGGCCCAAGTGTTCAAGTGAGGACCACAAGTGTGTGTCGACCTTTTCATTACCTGATGGGACACACTTATAGTGTTGTAAAAATGCAAGTGTTTACATAGCTTTATTTTAATTTTTAAATACTTTGCATTTTAAAATCAACTTCAAAATGTCTGTTCAGTAGTCCCTATAACATGACATCATTTTAATTTGTGGTGCTTCTAATTAAGTGATAAAAAGCAGTTGCAAATGTTGTACAAAATAAATATCACCACTACTCATCTTTGCACCACTAAAACGTAAAAACACTATTTTTCTACCAAATTATATGTAATATCTAATTATTACATTAATATTTAACTTGCATTGGAAAGGTTTCCGTGACCTCTCGCGAGATCTCGGCAAAAAGTCTCACGATTTATTTCCAGAACATGATGCATGATTGGATACACTAAGCCTCGAATAGCACTCCGGAGCGGTTTTCAAGATAGTGTGGATTTAGTGTGCGTTAAGGGCACTGCGCTTTGCCGTTTTTTAAGAACTGGGACAGTCTTGCGCACTTACTTCCTGTCGCACTCAAGTGGCCAAGACAGCAAGTGTGGGTATTTGGACAAGGGCGTGTGAAGTTTGATAAAGCAACCATTTTCCTTCACTGTTTTGTTAAAGGGATAATTCACCTCCTAATCCGTAAGACCTTTGCCCATCTTCGGAACACAAATTAAGATATTTTTTGATGATATCCGAGAGCTTTCTGAACCTTACCATATTTTTGGGTGAACTATCCCTTTAAGATAACTGACAATATGACCTTATGTTTGCCGCTGGTGTCCGTTTCCTCGTGAGTATTATCAGTGTCGTTTTACGATAGTCCCTAAATCAGTTCTTGCGTAATATACTCCGGAAGTAAGGCGACTCTAATAATAATTAAGTCATTTAGTCAATAATAATACCAATAATAATAATAATACATTAGTAGTGAATTACTGTATTGTATATTTGGTTTGCGCATTCGTTCACATTTTCTAAAGTATGAGGCATGCACATAAAGTAAAACAATTATATAAAATTAATTAAAAATTAATTAATTCCTGTTTTAGCAAATCGCAAATCGTTTGTGATCATTAATCTTCGGTCCCGTTTGCTGGTGTGTGGGAGGGCTGATGTTTGATTGACAGGTGAGAGAGCCAGTAGATGCGCGCCGTGTAACAGCAGCAGCCAATCGGGTGGTAGCATTGAGCGATAGTGGGACTCGATGGCCGCTAGGCTAGCGTGAATTCAGTGGACGCGTTTAAAAAGCTTTGAATTAACTGTTAAATCATGATTTCTAGATCATCGTTGATTTTATTTGCAGCGTTCAGTGTTAGTTTATGTGATGACGGTCATGAAATGGAAGAGTTTTTAAAGAGAGAGTATTCACTGTCCAAGCCTTACCAGGGTAAGAGACACAAATGCATTATAAATTCATCATTCTCGCGACTCTCTCATTTACCTCTTATCATCATAATAATTATACGTATATGATATACATATGATGTACATTATCAGTCTGACACAGGAATGAAAGCTGTTTGCGTGCTTAATGTCATGTCTTTGTGGCTGCTACATTAGAGAGAGAGAGAGAGAGAGAGAGAGAGAGAGAGAGAGAGAGAGAGAGAGAGAGAGAGAGAGAGAGAGAGAGAGAGAGAGAGAGAGTGTGTGTGTGTGTGTGTGTGTGTATGTATGTTCCTGGTTGTCCTTACGTTATGGGGACCAAATGTACCCACAAGGATAGTAATATCAGTAAATGTTTACCTTGTGGGGACATTTTTTTGGTCCCCATGAGGAAAACCGGTTATAAACCACACAGAATGAAGATTTTGAAAATGGTTTTGGGCTAGGGTTAGAGTAAGGGGATATAATATACAGTTTGTACAGTAGGAAAACCATTACACCTATGGAATTAACCCATAAAACAGGAAAACCTAAAATGTGTGTGTTGTAGGTATCGGTGTGTTGGGTTCATCTCACTGGGAGCTGATGGGAGACGCTCTGGTCACCACCGATCACGTGCGTCTCACTCCAGACCAGCAGAGCAAACAGGGAGCCATATGGAGCCGAATAGTAAGTCATCATCACTTACTAGTGTGCTTACTACAGCTGCCATTCACACCATTCAGCCAAGAAGGATTGGTGTCTTCGTAGTGACTTTCTTATTAAACAAATATAATCATAACTCTAACCAACCCCTAACCATTAACTAGTCCTAAAACCAGAGGAAATGGTTCATGACTAGACACTGTGTGTGTATTTGTATGGTTGTGTGTGTGTGTGTGTGTGTGTGTGTGTGTGTGTGTGTGTGTGTGTGTGTGTTTGTCAGGGGTGATGTCAGACAGGCAGTTCGGGACTCAGTTTGTGTGCAGTGTGGTGGCGTCTCACGTCAGTCACCTGCCCTCCACCAGCCTCAGCTTCATCTGGATCGCTCCTCCACCCGGCACCGGCTGCGTCAACTTCATGTGAGTCACGCATCCAACATACATAGCTCATGCGTGTCATCTGAGGGACTGGGAACTACAGGTTCATTTTAAGATTCACGGTCAGGGGAAGAAGAATCTGAACGGTGACGGTCTGGCCATCTGGTACACCAAAGAGCGTATGCAGAAAGGTCAGAGCTGCAGATGCTCATTTCATTGAGTCGAGACTGATCTCCAGTCATGGTTTGTTTGCTAATGACTGTAGATTATCCCTCACCTGTCTGCAGGTCCGGTGTTTGGAAACAGGGATTTCTTCACAGGACTTGGCATGTTTGTGGACACCTACCCCAACGAGGAGAAACTCCTGGAGGTATAGAAATCGAACACTGCCAGCACGATCAATGACATTACAGTATGTATCTGTGTACAGGACTTAGAAAAAGCCTTTTGCACATTTTTTGCTTCACAAACACATCAGTTGTTAGACGGTGATTTATATTGTTTGCTGTTGTGTTCCAGAAGGAAATGTCAGTTTACATATCCAAAGATTCATTGAGTTATTCATTGTAATAATGCGGTGATATTTGTGTACGAAGGAGTCTGATACGGTCCACACAGAGATCTGACCATCATTCAGTTCGTCTCTTACATGAAGAGATCGTTTATAGCAGCACAGGATCTTCAGACGTGGTTCACGATGAGATCTGATGAATCACACGCAGCGTGTTTGTATTTTTAGTTTGCATTTCAAACCTGATTCAAGAGAACATGTTGACTTTACATCTCCACTCATAATGTTTCCCTCATTCCTGTACACTGTATTCTGATCAACAGAGGTTTATGTGTCTGATTACGGTGAACACTTCCCTAGTCTATTCAACCAGGACAGTTTAACCAGTGTAAATCAGTCATTCAGAACTGTTGCTGACACACGCATGTTTTCATATGTGCCTGTTCCGTTGGTGTTTTACATGTGATTGTATGTGTCTGTTTTTAGGCCCAGAGGAAGAGATACACGCCCCGCACACAGGTAACAACCGCTCACTATTTCACTGACTATCATTAGTGGGTCTGTGTTGACTAGTAGTGGATCACATGCTGAGTTCATTCTGCTGTCGTCTCTTCTGCTTGTCATCAGAGGATATTCCCGTACGTGTTGGCCATGGTGGGCAATGGCACCATCAGCTACGATCACGAGCGGGATGGGCGGCCCACAGAA